TTTAGTTAAATTTGTTGTTTGTTTTAGTTTTTTAGTACGGCTTATTTTTTGTAACTTGTCGTTTTTATTTTATTTAGTAGAAAACCTTACAAAATTACACATATATATATATATATATATATATAGGTTCACGTTAAACGTTTAAATCGCTCTGTCTAAATAAATTACATAGTTATATTTAGAAATAGCTAAATAATATTTTTAAGCTATTCTGTTGATTCGCATATTTTTTTAAATAGATCAGTTACATACGTCTTTTTATGATCCTATAAACGTTTTTAAAAAAGAGCAAAAAAATAGTTGTCAAATAAAGCAAATAAATAAGGGCAGCCCGGCTCCCGGTTTAGAAAAAAGGTTTACAGTTCACAGTTCACACTTTGCTATTTTTCTCGCTATGAGAAAAGATCGCCTATACTATATAAAATATGATTGGTAACCATATTACTCTTGATGAAGTATAGTGTGTCATCGCTTTTGAATTGTGTCTCGTGTGAGTCGTGTCTTGTTTTGAAATATCTCGTGAAAAACAGAAAAAGCAACACAGATGACAGACTGTGGATTACTCATACATAGATACAGTATTGACTATCCCATGGACACCTTTTCTATTTTTATGACTTGCGTATACTACTGGTTGTAAAAGACTGCAACATATCTATATATGATGTATCCGATAGTAGGTATTTAATATTTGAAATGTAGAATCAGAACACCAGTAACACAATACCAAGGCGTCCAAGTCAAGCGATGGTTTAATGTATTTATTTGGGTGCTCTCATGCTACTCTAGCAATGGTCGAATCAGCAAAGTCAGCGGTGCTTTGCATTGTATCTGCCATGTACTCGCGTAAAACATGCTCTATTCTATGGTCGTATTCTGCGCCTATAATTTGTTCATCCACACTCTTGTTTATGGGGTTAGTATTTCTATATCTCGTTCTTTGTATTACTTCACCCTCTCTATATTGCACTTGAAGTTTCTGCTGTGTGGGCCTCGAGATCTGTGTGCACTGCTTTGTTAGCGTAGTTACACCAAATAATTTGCGCGTGTAAACCATGCGCGCCTTTTTTGTATCAAGTATTTCCTCCTTACAAGTGGGCCAGATATCGAAGCTAGTCGTACAACTAGTTTGTTCACTCCAATGGACAGGACGAGTGTTCTCTTTGTCCGACTCTTCTATGCATTTATCGTCCATTAAGCAAGGTGCTTTACGTGACAGGGTTTGGGATGGATCTGTATAAACGTGGTTTTTGTATTCATCCTCCTCCTCTTCCAAATAGCCCAAATCATAAGGCTCGTCACAGTAAAAACTGGATTCTTTTGTGTCTGTATCTGAAATAAAATCTACTGGAATAAAATCGCTGCTTCTACCGGAGCTGAGTGAACGATGGCATCCAATATCCATTTCGGCAAATGGTGGCTCCCACCGAGGTCTCTCAACCGATATCATCCTTTTTTGCACTGATGCTGCTTCTCTCTGTTTGAACGTAATTAAATTGTTAGAACATTTATTGGTAGAAATATGGCCTGGCTCTCGCGAAGAATAATTGATCATTTTTTTTTCAAGGCAATATATGACTAAAATCAACTGACCTGTCGATTGTGTATATTTAGGAGCAGTCCATAATGATCCAATTCGGCGACAGGGCCTGTCCAAGTACATTGCATAGCCGCGAAAGCAACCAGACTAGGAGCTTGGAGACTGAAAAAAGCATCTGAAAAACGGAAAAAAATCAAAGTGACATGATCAATCAGAAGCTTCATTTGTATTTTAGTATCAACCGATCAACAATAACGATTCGCAGTGAGACATAATCATGAACATACCAAAATAGCAATTCCTCAGCAGATTCAAGCAATCATCAATACAAGGATGGTCGGTGCCTAATACTCTGTAAACAATCTCGACTGCAGTAACGGAACGGACATTGCCTTTGAGTAGCAGTATAAACTGTATTTCTAACTCTTTCAGCTCCGCAGACTTTAAAGGCGTTGGCCGGTACATGGTTGCATCAACCAGGCACGTAATAATCGGGCCATCGCAGCTTGTTGTTTCCAGTTTGGTGGCGAGGAGCTCGGCAACAAATGCGAACATCTCGAACTTGTGCAAAAAACCCGGACGCATTGATATGATTCGGTCAAGGATAGACACCGTACGTGCCAGTGGTAACGGCTTGGCAATTGACTGATCGCAATTGTAGTTAGCAAACTGTAAGCAACAGAAAAACATCGATTAAAAGGCTGGTGGCGTTTGAGAATAAAGTATTTGAGTAGACCATGACAAAAAATCTACAAGCAGATAATAGATTGGCATTTATTATTTTGCGCATACCCAGCAACTGTAATGCAAATTTACCTCAATCAAAGCGTCTATTGCAAGGCGGCGTTCTTGCTCCACGTCACAAGAGAAAGGTTCGGATAAAATCGCAGTACATTCCGATTCAAGTAGTGATTTTATGTGATCTTCTCTGTATTCCTGATCAAATAAATCAAGATAGTTATCTCGCAACATAATGTACAAACTTCACAAATCAAATTGTATATACTTGTGAATATACTACGAGTATTAGACTACTATATATTTGTGAATATGCTACGAGTATTAGACTACTATATATTTGTGAATATGCTACGAGTAA